AGTGCCCTAGGCTTGTGGGACTGGAGTCCGCTTTCTCCGGGAGAATTCCCAAGGCGCTGGTCTTTGTCTTAGAAGGAATGGAGTTGCTGAATGGCTGAAAGGGACAGAGAGGGTCGCTTCGAATCGATCTTACATGTTCTTTCTGTCTTTTCGGATCAACGCCCTTCAATGGGCGCGGAGGTGCTCTTTCAACCAAAAACTTGTGCTACATTTTGTGCCTGTATTGGTGCTAACTACAATGGGCACCGGGCAGATTTTTTTTTTATTTTTTTTTCCCCCCTTTGCTCTCCAAAGCAAGAAAGCGCCCTAATTAAATTGTTTTATATGGACAGTCAGGACGGACCAATTAAGTATGTATTAGTATAAAGACGGAGTCTTGCAGATAACGGGGTTGAGAAAATCATGCGTGAGACAAAAGGGGAGAGGAGGGGCGCGTGGACCCAGCAAGGTCGCGCCCCCGCTTCCCCCGGGCCCCGGGGGCGTCGCAGAGGCCGGGGCCTCAGGTGAGAAGGGAGCAGGCCGGCTAACAGGTGGGCGACGGCGCTGGAGGCCCCAGGCCCGCGCCTCTGGCCCGGGAAGGGCGGAGGAGCCCAGGCGGTTGGGATCGCTCACAGCCTCCTGCTCGGACGAGGCAGCGGTCCCAGAGGTGGCCGGTCCCGCAGGAGGCGGCGAGCGCGCCCTGCCCCACTTGGGGTCCAGCCCTCGGCCTGGTGTCTAGGTTCAGGGTACGGCCCAGCCCTAAGGAAAGAGCGCGCGCCCCGGGGAGGCCGGCAGGGCCAGAGGGGAACAGGCACTACCCCCCCGCGCGGCCGCAGCCCCCTGGAAACCAAGGTCAGGGTAGGAGGCCCCCTTCTGACATCTCCAAACTAAGTGCCTTTTCGCTCCTAAGGAAACGGAAGCTTCTCGGCGAGGAAAAGTAAAGTTTCCACCCGACACCATGAGGCCTGAGTGGCGTCGAGGCCCAGCCGCAGAAGTGGGGGAATGACCGAGGGCAGGGAAAGAGGCAGCGAGGAGAGTAGCTCCGGGTTCGGTGAAAGCGTCTCCGGGCCTCCTCCGCCCCCTCTCCGCCCTCTGGGGTGTGGGCGGGCCGAGTGCCTCCGGCCCAGAGGCGACGACCCCCAGAGCAGGGGCCTGGGCCTCCCCGTGTCCGGCGCGGGGCTGTGATAGGTGGTCCACGGGGGCGCGGGCGCAGCGC